TCCGTATTTTCCGCCCTGAGTCCTAATGAGATTTGCAATCTAATCAACGAAGACTTGGCTCACATTGATAAGATGTGTGGTCAATTTGGAGTCAGCGTATCGTTTGATACTTTGGACCAATCGCACAACGAAGGGAAATATAGCCAAGACCAATACCAAAGGCCACAGTTTCGAAGTACTGCCACATTTCCTCCAATCAGCGTCGAATCCCTCAGCATAGAGACATCCTATCAATGGAATATTGGACAATGTGAATACTAGGCTGCAGAACTGGTCTCTATCATGGAATTAATCATGGCGTAAAGGATCACAGAGCAAAAAAAGGCTTACCCCATCCAGAAGTCCGTGAACTAGAGTCATGGAATCAGCTTAGTCTGATAGAACATTCAAGAACATACCTCGACTCGTTTAAGCCCCGATTTGAAGAGTTTGCCGATGTTCTTGATAAGCCAGAATCTAGCAGGTCTGAACAGGATGGGAAAAGGATCGAATATCACTGCCGTCGAGAATCCCAGCCAAACCAAAGGCCAGTCAGTTGGCGCCATTCTCGGCGCACCAATACGAGCGAAGGAGAAATAGAACGCGAAGCACAGAGCCGCCAACAGAATGCTGGGCGTCTGTAACACGTTAGACTCTGATGAACTGAAGGCGATTCAAAATCACCTGATAATATTCACGATGATCCAATCGCGTCTTCAAGTCCAACTCTGTCGATATCTCAATCAGATACACACGAGACGCCAGGTATTCTGATCATACCAAAAATGAAAACATAGTTGATCCTCGAACGCGCCCAAGCTAAGAGATTTAGACCAATGATCAACGTGAAGAAGACTGGCACTAGAAGCACGCCGTAAACGAATAAAAGGCCATCCCAGCCTGGAATCGCATCACGAGTATCTTGTTGAAAGGCTTTGCGATTGAATTGAGATTAGAACATATCGTTCAGATGACCACATACTGCGAAATAGTCCTGCGGCAAATGCGGCAGCCGCAAGGCCAATAAAGAGACCCGACCAAAAAGTTGAACCGTGATGAGATTTGTACTGAGGGCCAGCTCGGAGTCGTTGAACGGCTTTCCTACGATTATCGCGACCTATGTTCTCAGAAGTTAGCGGAGTATCGGATAGAAGCGTGAATCTTCGTACCGAAATTTGCAACATATACGTTCTGCAGCTCCTCCATCAAGGACCGAAGGGTTTCTTCCGAGGCAAAGGCCTTTTTCTCGACCTAAAACCGGGATAAGGCTGCGAATCGACGAGGATATGATAAACGCACCCGTTCGTTCATATACGCATTTTGTGCTGGGATCTATCAACCAAATCAATCGGTAACTGCCGAGTCGACTGCCCAATTTACCTTGGTCGCTTTCTCAAATTTCTGGAGTATCCTTCGGAAGCCGTAGACGTTTAAAACCTGAGTATCTCAGTATGTTTGGAGGGAACATGAAAATGTAGACAAACCCTGTAGTTGTGCAGCATCTCCAGTCCTCTGAGTGTGGCGTAAGGAAGGTTCGCGGTAAATGTAATTCATGCTTACCGATATTGCTCCAAAACAGCCTTTTCAAGTTTCCGTTTTGCTGCTCTGAACTCTTTGGGATCCAAATGCTTATGATCACCTTCAGCGCTTCGCTTTTCCTGCTTGGTGATAGTTGCAATCACAGGACCATCGACGGGACTATCTTCGCAATTATCTTTGGATTTGAACAGTCCCAAGCTACCCATGATGGACTTGATAGCGGTCATCGGGTTAATCCAAGACGTCCACGATGAGGATGTCTTTGGACGTGCCGCCTGTTGTGCTCAGTTAGTGAACTGATAACCGCGGCGTAGTGAGACTACATTACATCAAAGAGTTTCCGATGTTCGTTCAATTCATTAAGTTGGACCTGAAGCATCTTCTTTCGCATCTTCATCGCCTTCTCACGTTCGAGATAGAAGGCTTCGACTTTCTCTAGTTCTGTGTCCAGGGCATAGAAAAAATCGAGCTCGTGTTGGGATAGGAGCGGGAGAAGACTGTGAAGAGGTAGCTCTGGGAATGATGGTCGTCTGGCCGAGTGTACTGCGACAAGATCAGCAAGGAATAGGGAGCATCATCATCAACTTACTGAATTGAGAAAAGGTCCTAACTGTACGGGTCGAAAAGCCGCCGGGACTTGGAGGCATTTGATCATCCAAAACTTGGGACGATCGATGAATTGTAGAAGGATGTCGGGAAACTGCGCGGAGATAGATCAGCGCAGACCATCACGATCATTAGGAGGGACTTTTACTCCGTTGCGAATAACTCTTCGAGATACGATTGGCGGCTGGACTAGGCGGAACTGAAGAGTCTCTTGGAACCTGTAATGTTGCAGCACCCGAGGGCACTTCGACGACTGTTCAATGAGTAAGCGGCTAAAATAATGCAATCGAAATTCAAAGTCCTACCGAGATGGCGTGGTGCGCGAATTACGCCAGGCAGATCAATCTGGGAGCGAGCACTGCTGGAATTTCTCGGAACCTGGCGATCCACATCATGACTTGGGCCCGGCATGAGTGCAAGTCTAGGATTGTCGCGTTTCTCATGTGCAGCCAGAGTGAATGCAGTTTCGGAGGAGTCATTAGACTCGGATTGCACAATGATAGACGGAGCTGTTGAACCAAGTTGTCGATTGATGCGAGAATTCGAATAGCCTTCCAGATTGAAGTGATTTACACCTTGGGCATGTTGAATAGCACGGATGCGCTCTTTGAATACTCGATAGTTGCTTGAAAGGGTTTGAGTCTTGCAGGTACGATGAAGCAGATGGAAAGTACCGACATGTAGGCTTTTTTCCACTCTGCAGTCTTGGAATAGAGTGTCAATTTCGATAGCAAACGAGTCGGCGGAGGCCCTCACCTGCGTCTCCTCCAGGTAACTTGATCACTGTGAACACGAATGTCTTGAATAAACTCAATGAACGTACCGCGTAAACTTCATCTCTAGGATGCGTAGGTTATTGCAGCGGCAGAGTCGACCAGGATGAATTTAATTGTGGGCGAGTGAGTTGAAACCTGTGAACCAAGGTCCCTTTTAACTTGTTCCCTTATGCCGATAATTCAAGTGGTGATCTGGCTTTACAGCCACGAATACACGTTGTGAGCAAAGTAGAGACTTAAGCATTGTAAACAGGCCCTTCCCGTGAAGTAGTATAGCACTAGAAATTCACAATTTCCTCCATGCATGACTCCAAGTTTCGCACGTCTTCGTTATTGAGGGGGAGACTTTGACTTCCAATAGTAAGACGAACGTTGGATAAGTTGATGCTCTCGAAGGATGTTCGATAAACGTTGGTTCATTTCGGTTGCCAAATGAAGCAACGGGGCTGGTCCCATAGACTAGGGACTGGGCCTCGGTCCCCATTCGGCAATGGGCGCCAAGCTCGAGGGTCTTGGTCAACAAGGCCAAACAACCACTTTGATGCATCATACGCCAATTGCCAGAGAGTCGCGACGGTCGCGTTCACGTTCTCCCAGACCTCGTTACGATTACAATGACAGAATAGACCGCAGGGAACCCCCAAGACGTCTCTCTCGCTCGAGGTCTCCACGCCGCAGGCTCCGTTCACGAACACCAGAACGTCGATCCAGGAGCAGAAGCCGAAGCCGAAGTCGAAGCCCCGCAGTCAAAAGGAGAAGGAGGTCGGATTCTGTATCGCCTTCACGAGATTCTCCAAGATTGAGGTCGAGGTCCCGGTCCAGATCAGCTCACAAGAGGAGACGGCGGTCAAGAAGTCATTCGATCTCCAGCGCTTCATCTACATCCCATAGGAAGAGAAAGGACAAGAAACGCAGCTCGAGCAAGGAGCGGGAGCGAAGGGAGAAGAAGGAGCGAAAGAGAGAGAAAAAGGAGAAAAAGGTACGTGGTTTCTCCAATTCCCATATTATTGCAGTTGGGCTAACATTTGTTCAGAAGAAGAAGGCAGCTAGCTCGTCGTCGCATTGGGGAAAATATGGTATAATCAATGAAGCAGAGTCGGTATTGCCTCTCTAGCTGTGGCGTATGCTCAATTCTCAACAGCATATTCAACAAATCCTCCGAATTCCATACCTGGCTCGTTGAGGAGCGCAAGATCAACCCAGAGACGGTCTCCAAAGACCAGAGCAAGAAGGAGTTTGCTCGTTTCGCCGAGGATTTCAATACAGGTAGGTTTCACTTCAGCCTTAGCATTGGGGCTCTAATCATCGAACAGCGACGCTGCCACATGAGAAATATTACAACATGGAAGCCTATGACAGGAGAATGTCTGCCCTGCGGTCTGGAGAGTTTGTGCCGCCACCTGACGATTCATACGATGCTCGCGCGGATATGAAAGCAATCAACTCGGCACACAAGCGGAAGCAAGTAGAGCACGAGAGCTATCTGAGCAAAGAGCAGCTCATGGATCTGAGAAAGGTTCAAAATGAGCGTGTTGAGGTGCGTTTCAAGGCTTGTCTTTTTTCCTATTCGCCGATATTTATCCATGAACAGGCGAGCAAGATGAAATTGTTGGGCATGGAGATCAAACAGAACCTCGGCGTTCGAATGGACGGTACTGCTTTTGACGAATGAATGAACCGAGTACCACGTTTTCGTCATCCTCTTTCGCACACAAACCATGTTTAAAAGCTCGCAGTCGGCGCGCTAAATACATGCGTAGAATGACGTAGGTCACTGGCAGTGAAGCATGTTGATAGGTGACAGAATTGACAGTAGGCTTGTTACCCCAACGTTCGGAGAGCAAGCCTCTCGTTAGCTCATCAGAGAGTCGGTCCCCGGACCATAGGAGGAATTTGCACTGCAAAAAAATATACTGTAGCGGTTTGCAAAAAGCCTCCCAAACACCATATGCATTAAGAGGGAAGGTTCAAATCCCATCTTGTTTGGCAGAGAGCCGCGAGTGGTGGCCAAAGGGGTTTTGTCTACACTCTAGAGTCAAAATAAATCGGGGCTCGAAGACGGCCATGGTTCCGGCCCAACAAATAACTGTAAAAAGGAGTTGACAAGACAGGGACTCGAACCCTGGCCTTCTTACGAAGATGAGAACCCGTGAATACAGGCAAGCTACGCTTGAGTCCCACGCCTTAGACCGCTCGGCCATCTTGCCATATTTCCCAGGCTTTCTCTCGCTTCCAAGTACTCTGTGAGGGAATAGCCAGCCATTTTTCATAGCATACAAAGATGAGGTGGTGGAGATGGATGCATTGCATATTCACAAATATGAGACAGTGAAATGAGCTTGAATGCATTAAAAATAACACTGAGCACAACGTTGGAAAGAACATTGAATATTGCCTTGAACCAAGAATCGATGATCTTCAAAGATGCTCTCTTTGACCAGGAGGACTAAAGTAATAACAGCCTAACAGAGAGTGGTTCTGATACAAATTCTATGGGCCTCAAGCAAAAGGCTACTATTCTAGAGAAAGCAAGTACAGGACATATAGAGAAATCAATATTTGGACTAGAAGAGTGATGAGGTTTGGACCTATACTCTTGAAGAACTTTCTACCAGGTTTGAAGACAATATCTTAATACAGTGGAAGGAGCGGTAAGGTATAGGCTTGTAAAATATCATGTGTCTGGTCCGTGCGCGTGATTATATAATGATTATATAATATTCATATAGAATGATAATCTTTTTCAGGTTTTCCTACTTAGCTCTTTGTTACCCATTCAATGACATTCATCCTTGATTTCCAGCTTGCCTTCCAACTGTTTGTCCTTGATCACCAGCCATGTCTTCCACCCAGCCTGAGCTAGGTGAGCTATTTATCTTGGACTGTTAAAGGATGCTGATAAGCCAGATTCTTATGTAAAGCTGAATCCCAACCCATATTCCTGTTTAGTTGAGTGCAAGGTACTCAGAGTATCTTTTGCTTGAGAGACCTTGAAGCTTATAGTTAAAACAGTGGAAAGGTGTAAATCCTGAAACTGGAGAGCCTTGGAAAAATAGCTGGATTGATGGTGCTGATATTAAAGATACTCAAGTTCTGACTATGCTGCTGACTATGAATTTGCCAATTGGGAAGGACAGGAAGCCAGTACCTGCTGAATTTGGGGCGTGGTATCAGAAAGAGATAAAGTAGACACTGGGACCTTCAATTGAATTGAATTTTTTTGATATTTGCCTGTCACCCTACTCTGTAATGTACTTGGTAATGTTGAATGATTCAAGTTCAGACATCGGAAGCCGGAAAAACACAAGATAGATGCTGGAAGTGAGGCTTCAGCCTTCACGGTGTTTTCCTTGCGCATGGGAAAATCATCATGTGATTATAACTACTTTGATGCTTTAAATGCTATGTAGAATGATCATAGTAAGTAAAAGGAGAATAGAAACATCATAATAACACTAGTGATATGATCACTAGTGCACTCTCTATCATTTCGCACTTTTCATCAACAGGCTTCTGCTCCTGTTGAACCATGTCTGGGTTGCTCATGGTCCCATCTTGTGTATCTTGTGTGCAAAAGGTCAAACCAGTCACAGTTGGTGGTAAGATAGGGGATATACAAACCCCACCTACATCATGTGCACTTCCCAATTAGGTCAAAATCATAACAATAAATGAATATATTATTTGCTAGTTCATGTCTGGGAAATCTGCTTCCAATAACTTGTGCCAATGCCCCTTGAGCCCTCAAATCCAAAGCATTAACATTTGAGTGCAAATTGAGGGCAGAGTTCCATCGACACTGATGAGCATAAATTTTGATGCTGAACCATTCATGCACTCTGACATTGATACTATTTCCCTAACTAGTCAATCAGATCTGATTTAGGCCTGAAAACGTGTGGAGGTCGCATCTGTGACCTAGATTGGCTCAAAATGTTGGAGACAGATTTGCCTGAGGCTGTCCAAGTCTTGATTATCCTGAGGTGTTGGTCCAGCAGAGTGGAAGAACTTTGAGCTCAGACACTTTGAATACAGGTATGTGTTTCTGATCTCCATCATTCCCATGCTGAACTGGCTTCACAGGTGGTGCATCTAATTAGAATGATCCTTGCCTTTGATTCATATGTAGCTTTCTTATTTGCCCTGATCTCCTTGCAGCATCTCTAGCGTTTGAGGTCAGCTGCAGGCCTACAAGTCATACCAGAGTTTGAGATTGTCCTAAACATGTTGCCCACATGAGCTAGATGCTTTTACAATTCTTTGACTCCACATACAGATATTTTTCACATTGTATCACAATCAAGGCACCAATTCATTGCAAGTACTGTTCTGGAGACTTGACAAATCCACCTCAACCTGAAAAGATTTCATTCTCTATTCTCTATCAATCCTAGTTTTCAGATCTTTCATTGAGAGCCCAGATAAATGTTCACTATACACTAAAAATACAACTTATGTGTGCCCTGGTATATCTTCCTCATGAGACGTTACCCTGAGTGCATCTTCCTCCTCCAAAGTTGGAAGTTTGGAAGGGTCATCCAACTTGTTGAGGTAGTATTGGCACACAATCCTAATGCTCTCCACCCCTTCCAAGTGCCTAAAATTCACCAATGCCTGGCTAAATGACCCTCTTGCTTCATTGTCTTTGGTTATCTTCATATATACACGTCCAAGCTCAAGCAAAATGTCAGCACTGTTTTGTTGATACTCATATGTCTTTGCAAATGCTAAACCCTCCTCCAAAGTCTTGATAGCCTCGCTGTATTTAGCTTGAGAGATATAAATCTTTCCAAGAAGCCAAAGGGACCCTCCAAGATAAGCCTCAATCTGCTTTCCTTCATTGACTGTTTGCACAGCCATCTTTTCTGCCTCATCATGCTGTTGAAGATGGTGATGTGCTTCAGCAAGAAAATAGGCACATGACACTCTTTCAAAGGGTAAATCTGAACACAAATCTCTTGATCTTTTGAAGTGTTCAAGGGCTTCTGGATAATTGTGCTGACATGAATGTGCCCTCCCCAAAAGTGTCAGACAGCGTGACATTGCCTTCCTCCATTGTTTACCATCTTCTTCAATTGATTCTAGCTCATGCTGTGTCTGTTTTAAGAGAGGGATCTCATTGAATGAAGGATCAATGAGGGCAGAGACATTAGCAATGTCAATCAATGCCCATGCTGCAAGTATTGGCTCTGAAGATGCAAGATATGCCTCTCGAGTGAGATTATATTGTTGGAGAGACTCTTGAAAGTGATTGAGAGAATAGAGAATGACTGCATAGCATTCTAAAGTATGTGCAATAAGTTGATGCTGATTTGTGATGTTTTGCAGAAGTGTGTCACTGCATGTTGAATGACTTCTGTGCGTGGTCTGACTCGGTGCTGGTGCCATGCCAGAATGCAAAGTGCTTTGTTGACATCAGTGTTGAACTCTGATGGCTGGAGGAGTATAGCTTGCAGGTTGATTTCCTCAATGGACCGCATATGCATATCATTTTGGAAGGACTTCTGGCCTGGAGTGGTAGAGCTATACTGTTGCAGAAAATTACAAGCTGCATTGACCATTGAGTGATGAATATCATCTGGGGGTTGTAAGGGGTCAAGAAGGTATGACCTGATCACTGGTAAGACAAAATATGTTGTTGTCTGACATTCCAAAAGTGATGCCTCCAGAAGTACTCGCAGGGCACCATTGCGGTTTACAAGATCTGGTGCCCACCATTGTTCAAGATTGTCAGGTGTTGTGCCAGAAGGCAGCCTAGCAATTATGCGGAGGAGTTGGCCAGCATTGAGCTCATTTTTAACCAATGAGCTTTCCAATGACATGCAGATGGATACTGACACACTGTTCTGTGCATCTGAGCCCTGTGCAGATCCAAGCATTGAAGTACCAGTAGACTTGTAACTTGAAAGCAACTGTTTGGCTGACCATCCTGTATTCTTCCCATATCTTGCCATAAGCTTTACAGCCAATGCCATATGCCCCACCATCTCAAGGAGGTCTAGAAGCTTGGGATCATGCTGCAACTGAGGGTCAACTGAGACAAAAAGCTGGTGAGATGCCTCAGGATCCAGTGCCTGAATTTTAATCTCCTCCCATTCAATCTCTTCACAAGGTGCAACTGTTGCTCTCATTGTCACAAAAAGTGTGACATGTGAGAATTGTGCAATTTCTTGCAGTGTACGTGCAACAGCACCTCTAGCTCCAGGTGCATTCCATGGTGTTTCAAAGTTGTCAAGGAGGAGAATGATGGGTTTGGAACTGTTGTGTAATTCATTGAGAATGGCCCCCAGAGTGTCATGGTTATCCTGGTTGAGAGCCAGGGAGTTATAAATGACATCAAGAAACAATTCTGATGAGGTGGCTTCATCACATGGGACCCAAATACTATCCTTTTCAGAGTAATATTCCTTAATGGCAGGATGTGCCATTACTTGGAGTGCTGTTGCCGTCTTTCCCTGTCCGCCAGCACCAAGAAGGGCAATATGGGCACATTTGAGGGAGGATGCTGGTTTGGCGGTGGTGAATATCTGAGCCACCTGAGAGTGTTTAGGTTGGGATAATGGTTTTCCTGTGAGTTTCTGAACAATTTCTTTGATCTCTTGGTTGCGGCCAAAGAACTTCTTATTTGCGACTGGCATATAGCCACGTGCATAACGAGTGTGCCTTTTAGTGACTTGGATATATAAAAAATTGAGCTATATCCCCATGTCAAACAATAATCTCACCAGTAGGATAGTTGTGGTGAATTGTAGTATTATTATTGACAGTGGAAAGGACATGTCCACTGATGTTTCCTGTTTCTCTTTAACAAACATCTGCAGTGAAGCTAAAGCATATCTCACCAAATGTGCTGTCCTTGACTGTGTTATGAATCTGGGAGCCAGAGGCATCCATAGCTACCTTCAAAGAGAGGGGGGATTAACGTGAAAGCTCTGGACAAGTTGTTAAGCACTGCCCAGCCTAAGTTGACAGCATTGACATCTAATGAATGTTTGAATGTTCTCAGGATCTTGGTTTCTAAAAATACCTCTAGAGGTACGGGTGAGAAGCCTGTTCCGAAGACAAGCACTCGAGCATTACATTGTCTACTTGAAGCCAAAACTGCAAGCCTTGAAAGGAAATGAAAACTGCCAGAAAGAAACAGAAAGACAAAAGGAAAGAAAAGAAACCAGTCTGATGGAAATTAAGCCTGAGTGACTTTCTGTTT